AAGATGTTTCCCGCCAGGATGCTCTCTATGGTGCACGAGTAAAAGTTCCTGAGCACCTTGGAGGGCAGTTGGAAGTCTCTCAAGCGTCTGAGGTGGTAGAGGTGCTGTTGGGCCTTTTTCACCACGGTGTTGATGTGACAGGACCATGTGACAGGACCATATAAGACATCTATCGTCCCGATAACGATATAAATCACAAAAAATGTAACATTTTCTGTAAATTCTGTGAATCTCGGGCAGCTCGACTTGCGTGAAGTGTTTCCAGCTGAGTGTCGTGTACCTGGAGTTGAATGTTTTAACCGATGCATGAAACGATACATTTTTAGACATAAGTTGTAACGGCCGCCGTTTTCTTTGTATTTATTACACGGCGTGCTGTTCTAACGTTTGAGTCTAAGATTTATTTTTTAGCACCTGACGGCTCTTTTTTGCTTCTCATCCGCAAGCACTCTGCATACTCTTTCACATGATTCAGTTTATTTTGAAAAGTCTCAACAGGATCTTGAGCTTTATTGTGAAAGGTCTATGTGGAAAATAAACAAGCGGACAGGCCACGGTGTTACCGTCATTGTTGCTAACGACAACACATAAAAACAGGCGCTTGTCTGTCCGTAGTGTGGTTATATTAAATATAAGAGAAAGAGAGAACTTTAAGAAATTAATACAACCACTACAGTGACCATCAAAACCATGAAAAAATATTGCCATAAACAGTTTATTTTGTGAAACCACGAAACAAACGATAGACATTTTTATATTGTCATCTGATATATATCGTTATATCGAACAGCCCTATATATATATGTAAATATAAATAATTAAAAAAAAATGTTCATTTACCTGTTACTACCACACACCAAATCTGGTCATTGGTACTTCCTGGTTTGTGTAACCACTAGGTAACAAAAACTCTACACTGCCCCCTAGCATCCTGGAGCACTTCCATTGTGTTTTGTACGTGTTTTGTCTCTAGGGGCCACTGTAAATATACTTTTATTTATTCACTCTACATAAAATGTAATAAATAAATTATATAATACAAAAACCAACTATTTACATTTCAACTTTTAACTATTTAAATTTTCAGCTTTTTCCTTTTAAACAAATTCAAAGTGAAACAACACAAAACGGCAGAAAGAAAAAGGAAAATAGTGAAGTATTTAAAAAAAGAAGGGCAAAAATGGATTTGTGTGTAACTTTTGAGGACTCACAAGCTTCAATCCACACACAAATACGAAGCACAAGTATTTTACAAATGTAAATGGTCTGATTCTTATATAGCGCTTTTCTGCTCTCCCGGAGTACTCAAAGCACTGTATACAACATGCCTCATTCACCCACATACAAGCACTTCTAAACACAAGTGTAAACGAATCTACATTCATACTCTTGGGGTTAATATCGTGCCCAAGGACATTTGGCATGCAGACTGGGGAAGCCAAGGATTGAACCACCAACCTTCCAATCAGCAGCTGACCTGCTCTACCACCTGAGCCACAGCCACCCCAAATGTGTATAAGCCTGAATAAATGCTGATCATTTATGCACGATTTATAAGTTCAGCTTCACGAGTCTGTTCATTTTCTCTTTCAAAAATCTTCCTGTGCACACAAATGCCTGAAACTACACGTAACATCTCTCGCTTGCTCACAAAACCTTAAATGCATGTGCACCTGATACGTACCAATCACGTCCCATGCCCACCTGGGGTTTTAAGGCTTTAATGCTGCTCGCTTCACACGGATCACAAATATAAGCTACGTTCAAGTCCCCGTGTAAAAGTGGGACATCTGGCCGTCCACTGTATACCGGCATCTAAAAAAAAAGTCGTTTGTTTATTTCAAATTAAGTGGATCCGTATATGCACAGAAATGTTTTTTTTTAAAGAAAATGATTCATGAAGCTGAACTTTATAAATGTGATATTTATTCATTTTACAAATAATGTGCTCAGTGCTTCTTATTCATGTGTGGATTGAAGAAAGCACCTGTGAGTCTAAAGTTACACAATGATTGTGCACTTTTGTAAATCTTAGTTCACGCTTGTCAGACATATCATAAATATGCATTTGCAACACTTTTGCTGCAAATTTCACTCCATAATTAAAGAGGGGAAGAAGGGGAGCCTCTGAAACTGTTCACAGCTATGAAGCCGTGTAGAGATTTAGTATGTGTAAAATTGACTGGGACTGTCCAGCGAGGATGTGAAACAGAAAAGAGGAAATGCAGGATTTTCTTTATTTCATTTTTCTGAAGTCAAGTGTGTGTGTCTATTTATATCATAGATAGATAAATAACACTAAATAATTAGATATTATGATCATCCAGACCTTTGCTTCAATAATTGTTTTCTGACTGGACCACTTTAAATTTGAGTTGAATAGCCCTGTTTTAGGCCTGTTGGAGAAGAGCAGAGCAGGCCATTGGTTTATTTTAGTAGTGTGTGACTACTACTACTGAGATATCCTGATGCTTTCTCCTTAAAAGAGGTTAAGGCCCATTCTCCATTCCAGGTTTTTTTTTTACACAATTGGCCGGAAGAGTTTGACATGTTCACAGGGCTTCATCACACCATCACGAGGCTCCTCGTGATGGTGTGATGGCCCATTTCAAAATGAAGCTGGTGTCAAAAAACACCAACACGCTGCTTCAGAAAGAGCTTGGTTCGTCTGAACAGAGTCATGTGATCAGTGATGTACTGTTCTCTCTATGTGTTGAACTCCCTGAGTGTGAACATAGATAAACAGCCAAATTTGGCCCGCAGACTAATTACATTTGGCCCGCGAAGCCATACAAAATTAACATTAGAGCTGGCCTGCCAGTATTATACAGTGCATGTACTGCTAATACTACAATTCCCAGAATGCTCTGTTGGTGTTTTGGCACGTGAGTCATGACAGGACTTATTAGCACCCTCTCCTCTGTTGACCATAGTCATAGCAACCATGCAAATACTGCCATGCTACCGATCCCAAAATGGCAAAAAGAAAGGCAGAAAACAGGAGCTTTCTGGACAGGTAGGAGAATATGATGAAAATCTGATAAATGATAAAATGATCAA